GTTACGTTTTTTCTGACAGATGTACAAACTTTCTGCCTTTTATGTGCATGCCAATGCGTACACGGGTGGATCTCGGATTTACGTCCCATCCGATCAACTAAGCACACTTTCCTTGCCAGCCCAACAGGCACCACGCTGATACTTGAAGTCCGGACTTCAATAACACACAACACAAACCTTGGAATACGCACTATATAAAAATGGGTTGTTAGTGACCATATATCAATAATAACCACAAACTATAGATAATATCTGTAATGTAATTACAATTCCCCTCTAGAGACTGATGACACAGCACATGACTTGTTCCATATATAAATAGATGTCTCTGGAGATCAACATATAATACTACCTTCGAACAGCAATTTTAATACGTATATGTATATACCGCAGTTCAAAAAGATGCATTATGTAAGATTAAGATAAAGAGCTGGCAGTTCTCGCTATAATAGTTAAAAAATAGAGCCTCGATTCACCAGTTTTAAATTGAATCATCAAATGGCGATCGTGTTTCAATCCTTTTAAATCTCCACCATCCGATTGTCTTGAGAGTTGATTATAGGCTTGTCATAAAAATAGTTTATATAACATTTGAAGCCAAAATAAAAATCTGCAATAGGCAGATTTAGCTCTTACATAATGCATCTTTAATAATTTAATGGGCGGCGATACCAGTCGAACGAGCCGACCAGTTATTACCAACCAACTTTTCTGACCGTACTCCTTGTCATGTACGAGCCTGTGATCGACACCACGACACAACTAAAGCGCACGTGTTAGACAACTCGGCCACCCAACCCCTCGATACATAATGGGCTTTAAACAGAATAATATAACATCCGATTAGTCGTTTTTATGAGACTCTTAAGATGAGCTAGACGAGAAATTGAACGTTTTTACTTAGACATGCAATGTGAATATGTTTCAAAAATAATATATCATTTAGTTGCATGCTGTTCTTAGGGAACGTCTAGACGTAACTTATATTATTTACATTTGCTAGGATGTATTATTCGCGTTAAAACCCACCGATAAAAGTTAATTATTAACCAAGAAAGGTCGATATTAGCTATATGGCAAATTGCATTGTCGAACACATTTGTTATTCCTGGCAATATCCCTTTATGGCAATAGCTTCGAGGAACGAACACACGTATTTCAAGTGACATATATATTTTTCGAAGAATCAGACAGGCATGTTTATTCGTGTCCAAAGCAAACTAATATTAGCACACAGCACCGCTTTTCCACTGTGTGCGCAAATTTACAGACTTCACATTTCGTTCCGGAAATTGACAATCACAACAAATTCTTTCGGATAACGTAATCATTCATGTTATAGGTATTTGTTTAAGTGTCTAACATACATAGGGTAAATATGATGACGTTTTCAGTCATGTTCAGCCTATAGAATTAGTATTCCTAAAAAAAAAAATGTCTTCACGGTAATTCAGTAAAAAAAACATTAGGATTATCTGTGATGATCCTTTTCAAGAAGTAATTTAGAAAGAGATCATTTGTGTCAAACCTTCAGCCGCGATGTAATTCGCCATGGGTAAAAAGCTGACGTTGTCAGCTATCACTGCCCCAAGTCTTGATAATATTACGCCCAAGCATAGAATTAGTTACATGTTTTTCACCGAACGATTTTTAATGTGTGTAAGGCCCAGTGTCTGGATAAGTGTGGTAACTTTACTGGCTCTTTCGCTATTATGTTGTTGTTAGTTAGTTGTATTTTATGCCCGCTTCCACCGAGGTGATATCGCAGACAAGATTTCGCTATTATGTCTGAGGGTGGTCTTTATGGCACACGTAAATATGGCCAGAATATTAAGGCAATATTCGTTTACAAACGAATTAACTTTTAAACGAGGTAATATGGTTTTGTGAATTTTCTCACAGATTAACGATATGAAACACATATCCTGAGCTATTATACCTTGTGTTTCTACATTTTGCTTTTAAATGCCATTAGTTCTTCCTTATTTGAAGAACTAATGAAAAAATAGGGGAGGTGGGTCACGGTGGCTAAGTGGGTAAGACGCTGACTCGCTAGTCTGGAGGTCGGGTGTTCGATCCTTGCATTGGACGAGAAAGTTCATCCAGATTTTCCGGCGTGATTGCCCCTTGTCAGTGATGCAGGACGTTCGGATGGGACGAAAAACCGAGGTTCCGTGTACACATTGGCGTGCACGTAAAAGATCCCTGACAGTTGGAATTCGATACAAGAGTAGGCCGTAGTACCGCTGTCCTGGCAAAATTTCCCACATAGCACACAGAATGGCGTATGCCCGCCTTCATTAGCCCAGTTCGGAGCAGAACAGTAGGACGTTAAACCCCATTTCATTTCTTTATTTGAAAGGTGTTTGCGTTTTTTGTTTGTTATTTAAAAACCTACCTAATATGGATTTATAACACTTTTCACGAATCTCAGTGGGTTAATAGTCTATTTTTATATAATAAATAACAGTCTTTTGATAGGAGAATTTTATAATTTAAAGAGTAATGAAGTGCTTTAAAAAATTTATCAACACTAAGTAAGATTAATAGGATTTTGATAGCCTCATATACCACTACATCATAAAATGGTGTAAATAGGGAAGACGTTAGTTTATTACCAAGAATAAAGGATGATTAATTTCATCAAAACTGTGATCCATACAACACTTAAAGGTCAATGACAATTTCAAATACACCTAAATAACTATCTACAATAATTATTTGAATAGCTTTAATCACTGTTGAGTGGAATCAATAAAGGAGAGGAGAATAATACTTGTAAGATAAAAGCAAAATACGAGTTTGAAATAATTATTATGTAAGCAAATAATGTTTTGAGTTTTCTAAATTTCTGTTTTGTTTGTGGCCAGTAATGCCTGCTTCAACAAGTATGTTTAATTTTTAATTAAAGCTGTTGGTTGATAGTTCCCATCAATATGTATTTCTGACTTTCATCGCATTCCCCGTCTTCGTTAGCCCAGATGGAGTACGACATTAAACCTCATTTCATTTCTTATCACTCTACCAACAAACATCTGAGTCAATCGGTGGGGTAGTCATTCATTCTGTTCGGCTTGGTGACCCCCTTTTTACCCTAACTTTGCTTTTAGCTCTGTTATTTATTCAGTTCATATTATAATGCATATGCAATTGTCCATTATGTTGATTCTAAATAAATAACTTTTCAGCAAACAAATTCTGTTTTGACAAACTAGATTAGACTGTGATTTTTGTGTGATAAACGATACTGTTTTGTTGGTGCTGTGTCTGTCGCAACTCTGGCAATCATAAAATGTATTTGAGCAAGTTGTGTTTAGCATTTATTCGATTTAGGCACATATCGAACTGTAGCTTCTTCACCTGCCCCCTTGTTCGAAGAGGCTACGGATCTATTGCAAATTTAGTGTGTGGCATTGTGGTCACAAGATGACGAACGCTATCGATATTCAGCGTTCCAGGACCTTCCGCTCCGGAATTACCCCTCTTTCCCGAAAACCTTGTGAACGCGATAGAGAGTACAGTTTATGACAGAGTTAATTTTCCAATTTTGATATTGGGACAATGAGAGGATGAACTCTAACCGCTGTTCCCTGTTCTCTGCCCATCTATTTCAATATGTGGACGAATTTTGCATGGCAACCGGTTGTTTCAAATTTTGAGCAAGGAATGTTCAATATATTTATGCCTTGTTTTGATCACAGACACGCCGACAAGACTGACCAATAATATTTCTTTGTATAGTTTAAAAGGTAAGAATTGGAGATGAACGAATTCTGTCTGATAATATTAAAAAATAATATATCTACATAATTAAATTCGTCTGGTTGAATATTGAATAAATAAATACATTCTTGGTTCTAGGTTTATTGTTCTTTATAAAGTAAGGACGGTCTGTCTGCAAGGGTTACATCTCACTGTGCCCACTTTTGATTAATCCAATTAAGGTCTAATTAGGATTAGTGTATTAAGCGGATTAGGATTGGGTGTTATAGGTAATTAGACGGAAAAAAACGTAACAAATTACGTAACTGAGTTCTGGGTGGAGGGGCAGCATGGCAGAATGATGTGGAACCATTTCCACACTGAAGGTCCACGCACAACGAACCATGTTGAAGGATGGCATTCCAATATAACATCCATTATTGCCCCCCTCACCCAAATATTTTTAAGTTGGTGGCTTTTTTTAAGAATGAACAAGCTTACTCCGAAGTAACCATTCTCCAGTTAACATCCATTATTGCCACCCCTCACCCAAATATTTTTAAGTTGGTGGTTTTTTTTAAGAATGAACAAGCTTACTCCGAAGTAACCATTCTCCAGTTAGGTGCCAACGGAAAATTACGGCCTAAGAGAAGAAAGTACAGGCAACTAGAAACCCGACTCCAAACTCTGAAAACAGATCTTCAGAACGGTATAAAGACTGTATTCGAGTATGCCGATGGCGTAGCCCGTTTAACTACATTGTAAATTTTCATTGTTTATCTTGTTTATCTTGTATGTTATATTTTTATTACATATTTTATATATAAAACATCGAAAATTGTTATATTTTCATTAAATTATAAAGTGCTAATGTGATGTATGATATATCCATGTATGTTATATTTTTATTAAATATTTTATATATAAAACATCGAAAATTGTTATATTTTCATTAAATTATAAAGTGCTAATGTGATGTATGATATATCCATGTATGTTATATTTTTATTAAATATATATAAAACATCGAAAAATAAAAAAAAAATTACATAAAATATTTGGTTTTTTTTCCATCTAATTACCTATAACACCTAATCCTAATCCGCTTAATCCACTAATCCTAATTAGACCTTAATTGGATTAATCAAAAGTGGGCACAGTGAGGACACACCTCTAGAAGTCTGTAAGTAATTCGTAATATTGATTGAAAGCGTTTTACACTTCACAGCTCGTGATCACACGACACGACACGTCGGATTCTAAATAGCTCCACAAAACAATACAGATGACAGAATTGACTCAAGCGTGTATTAGTGGCGGTCTTCTACTGACAAAATTATGATGATTTAACTCCCAGAGTTGGTAAGTAGAATATAATTATGTAATTCACTGGAATGAAATTATAGAATGTTGATTTTTATTGTTGTCTATAAATTGTCGTGTTTCTTGTAGTGACGTGGCGAAGCCAGCTAGGGATATTAGATGTTATATGTGTTATGTCGTGTTTTCCTCAATGGTGCATTTGTCATACCGATCCTTCTGACGCCTCATTTCAATAAATTTGTGAAGTCTTTTTGTTGGCTACTATCTAGATTAAAAATAACATATTTCACACAAATTTCGTGAAACGAAGATTGAGTGGTAATTATTGACATTTATTTCATTGAATTTATTGGACCGCAAAAGGCGGATCATGAATGAGATACACCTAATTGGAGGTACTAATTTAGAAATTGTTGACGCAATGGATTTCAACGATATTTTGTGGTAATTTTGTATGTTTAACAGTATTATAGACCCCCGGGCAAAGCAGTGTACTGGGGCCTCTATACCTACACAACGCTAGGTTGCAGATGTGACCGTTATACTAATTCAGGGGCGAATGTTTATGGTTTAGTAATTATTTATTGAAAAAAAAGTCACAATATAGATTAACATGGGAAACTCAACAGTAGCTTCGTCGTGTACGCTGAAAGAAGACTCGTAATGTCTGTCTGTCATTCTTGTATAACGGATTTTTTTTTTAAATTGAAGTTGGAGATATTTGATTGAAGTTTTATAGCAGGATTATAGATCAAATTCGCATTTCAGTATTGTTTGACTGGATTATAATAATGTTATAGATTAGTGGGTTTTTGTTATTTTTTGACTGAAAACAATGAAAGCTCGGTTTTGGAAAAAAAAGTGTTATTATTAAACTTTGAGGTATTTGATTGAAATTTGATACACTGTTGTATAACAGAGAACAAGTTTGCGTTTCGTGGGATTCCGTTAATTTTTCCTGATTTGTTTTAGGCAAAACTTTGCGATATTTGATTGAAATTTAGTACACTGTTTTATACCAGATCAATCTAAATTCAGTTTCAGAGAATTTATTCCATCTATATGTTTCTGGATTATATATTCACAGAAATATATTCTAAATATCACATGCATTGTAAAAAAAAATTTGCTTATATAGCTTCAGAAATACTCGCACAGTGCTAGTTGTTGTTTTATTATTATCTGTCATGATTTATTCCATCCATGCCTGTTGACGTTATATCAGATTAATAACAGTAAAGTTATGAATTAATAATAAACCTATATATTATATATTATAGTATAAAATATAAAAATAACTCCGATCTGCTTCTACATGTTTCAATATAATTTCATCAGGAAGCCATTGATTGCAAGGTTACCCTTGTGACGTCACAATGGATATTCCATCGTTAATTAGATTGACTGTTTCAATGGCATTTAGTAATTGAACTAGAGTATACAGGTCACAATAATGACTAGAGAAGCCTAGTCGAAACGTCGCTCAGTAAAAAGCAGTAATTGTATTCCATAGAATTGTGACCTGTATAATTAGATTGAGTGGATATTGTCTGTTTCGAAGGAATAATATTTGCAGCTCCTCGAATCGAACTTTCTGTTGGTTGGTGTCAGATACAATTGTTCGAATCCGCGATCTGCTGACTGTGAAGGAGAAAAACGCATCACAGCGAAAACTTATTGCATTCGTTTCGACATTCAACCCTAGAAAACGATAAACGGATGAAAGAAGTTTTAAAATCAGTAGAAATCATCAACAGCAAGCGTCAAAGTAATAGTTTGAAAAACATTCTTACGAAGGCTAATTTCACGTCTGAATCCTCAAACCCAACAAAGGTTGTGAACACGATATAGATAAGATTTCTTGAAGGCATATAGAATATTTATCAAATTGTGTCATCATGGAAGTTTTCCTTTTGGATAAGGTGCTTTCTATGGCTTTATTTTTCTTCGAGATACACGTGAAGGGGAAATACTTTTGTGAAATATCAGATAACGGGCGAAGGATAGCAAGACCTTTCGGAATGTCATTATTTCTGTTCTTCTTATTGCTTGATGTAAAAAAAAGACATATGACAGTGTCAAAAATATTATCTCTTGGCTGGGGCCCCCTAGATCTCGAGGTTCTGGGCTGCAGCCTGCCAAACCTGTAGGTAAATCCGGTACTGTTTTTTTTTAATATGGCGCTAGCTTACTACACAGGAGTTCCTCCGTTCGATTCCGATTTCCAGCCTGGTTTCACCATATCAGTGCTGCAGAAAAGCTGTGCTATATAGTTGTTCGTGTGTGTGGAAAACCTGGGATTCCAAGTATACACAGTTAATTGGTACAATTAAAAACTATGATTTTAACGCCATGAACATATCATACCGATTACAATAAAATTCATTGAGAAAACGTTTTAGCCTATAGGCTATTATATTGGCTGTTAGCGGCCATTCTACATTCTCGACTCGTTGGGTTGTGAAGGCGACAAAATACAATTGACAAAATGAAGGCGACGAATGTCGGGTTATTTTGTGGCGTTGTCGGATTGATTTTGTCGACTTGTCGCCTTCACTAACCGATACGTCGACAAAATGCAATTGCTTCACTACCCGACAAGTCGAGAATGTAGAATGGATGCGAACAGCCACCATATTTTATCACCCAATAACACATTCTACAGTAGATATCACTTGTGTGATAATTTTCATATTGTACTGAGCGATATCTCCTAGGGTATCGCTTTACATTTATACCTAAGAATTATATTTATTTATTTGTGCGTGTAAGAATGGGTTGGATGATAAATAAAATCTCGTACTCGTCAAAAGCTTCGCAGGAGATTACTGGTACAGGGCCCTCACAAGCCAATGTGGCGCCCCAGGACAAAAGTTTCAGTGACGCCCCCCCCCCCCAAAAAAAAATAATAATAAAATAACAAACTGTAACTCTTTGTTCAGTGCCTGCGCTCGGTTTATTTTTATGATTAAAGAAATTTTAAAATACATTTTTTTATACTTTTAACACTTTATCTAAATAACTATTGATTAAATCAAATTAAATGTAAAAATTTTATGTTTAATTCCCCTTCAACTCTCCATTTGATCGAAAAACCCTATAATATATCTTGGAAAAATCTACCCTCTCTATTTGCTGAACTGCCTTACACAGCTTTAAGGGAAGCGAAGGCCCGAATTTGTCCCCCTTTAAATATTTCTGGTATGGACTTCGATAATTTGACACCCCACCCCACCCAAGAAGTGTCGCCCCGAGTGTATGTCCCCCTCAGCCCCCCCCCCCCATGTGAGGACCCTGTACTGGTATCAAAGTTATATATATAAGACTCATCTATTTTGAGTCACGTAGAAAGTGATGAATTTAGATTCTGATGATTAGAGCAAGGAATAGGGTCCGTAGCCTCGAATAACAAACGAATGGTAGATAGTATATCAATATTTCTAAATTGTTTTCATTGTCACCATGTCTTGGCCGTCTATTATAATTTGTCATATTGCATAAACGTGTATGCAATATAGCCACAAATCACATACCATTTTTAAATTGCCATTTATTGAGTATAATGGGCACTGATATTTATCAATATACAGTAGGATATAAATGTATTGTTGACTCTAGATGACATATTGTACAGAAAGAGAGTTTTAGCTACTGACATAAGACACCACGCTTTAAACGTTAGTATATTGTATACTGTATGGACAGTGAAGGAGAACCCGGGAACCACACAGATTCGGTGAACCGTCCATTTTTCGGGCAAAGTATTTCCGTTTTTCGAGCACAAACACCAGAGAATGACACCATATATTATAGAAATATAATTGTTGTATAATTGTATAATGAAATCTCTCGCGGTTGACGCCCCCCCCCCCAACCCCAACCCCAACCCCAGCCTCAACTGATATGAGTCTGGTCCCCTCATACGTCTATGAACAAATCAAGTGAACGGATCCAAATGCACTGTAAAGTCCTGGGTCCGTAATAATAAACACTTCATTTTAAAAAAAAGGATGACGTACACAACCTGAGAGGCAACCCAAAAACGCAAACCAGAGTATCCCGTACATTGTATCGTTCTATGTTATATCATGATCGACTGTGTTTTATTACAAATCTCAATGTTAATACATTGAACAAAATAATTTAGATCTATCCAATGTGAAGCCCCAAAACCCGGAAGTAATCGATAGGGTTAAAAACATAATAAGTGTTTGCAAAATATCCAGGAATGTATATGTGTCGGCATACCTTTTATCTTTTTATCGTTTACCATGCAACAGAGTAGTACAGCTTTACGGTTGTGCCAATACTTTTAGGTATATGTTACAGTTAATCTGTGTAATCAGTCATTTCGCGTAATGACTAAACGAATCAGTCATTTCGCGAAGAGCCTGTGCAGCACCAGGCGTGTAATGACTGAAAATTCCAGACATTACACGGAATGACAAAAATGCCTACCCTTTTTTACACATAATGCCTGATTGCAGATTTTGCAAATCAGGCAATATGTGTAGGCCTAACACATAAAATTACAACATAAACTTTTAAAAAAAAAAAATTAATAATTGTTTTTAGTTTTTATTTCACTTTTTCATGGCATTAGGTCTGTAGAATGGTTGTTTTATTGAAATTTAATGTACTTATAAGTTTAAATCCTGCCCTTCTAATAAGCTTTAATCTTCTTTCAGGGTATTGTGTATCTAAAAACCCGATAAAATCATTGTTAATACATCAAAACAAGTAATCCGTTAATCATTGTGTTTTATTTTCAGGTAAAGTGGTATATGTCATATTACCCTTATCAACCTTGATCACTCTCAATAATTACATTACTTTAATTAAGTTGGGTTTCCTTCAAGGTAATTAGAAGGGTGTCTCTGATTGCTCAGCATTAACCATGTATTGTTGTTTACATGTATATATATTGTCATATTTTCATATTTTATCATTGCTTGATAATGATTAGAGAAGCCTAGTCGAAACATCACTTAGTAATAAGTAGTAATTGTATTCCATAGAATTGTGACCAGTATATTCCA